AATTTACAATTATTTTAACTTCTTTTTTGACGTTCATCGTTCATATTCAAAGATATTTTGAGTTTGAAAATAAGACGTTAGGTTAGGTTAAAGCCAAAAATTTGTACCGTCCTTCATACTTTTCACAAATATTGATGATTTAAATTATTTAAATCATCAAATTAAATTAAATTTTTAGGGTTAAAGAACATGCGCCACCACATTATTGCATGGCACACATGGTAGAAAAAAAATTGGAGCTGTTTTAAGGTGGAGAAGTGATTCCACAAATTTACCATTTTAACTAAAATGCGTCTTGTGTATTTATACAGCTGTTTTATTTTCATTATTTTACTGTCAATGTGTAGTTAGTTTAGTTAAGTTATTGTGGGTTGGAGATCACAGTGATATAACAATCAGTTAAATGGTACAAACAAATTCTGTTCCAACACTTGTTTAGGGTAATCATCGTCAGGCGTCATCCGTCAGTATGACCAGCCACAATAAATTGAATCCATGCTTCGTCTTTTTAAACACTTCTTGGATTTGGAAAATTGGCTGCAATGACTGCTTTTTTGGGTATAGGCTTTTTCCCCCCCCCCTTTTATTCTATAAAAAAAAGAAATCCGGTAACCCCTCCAAGCGGACCTCCGGGCGATGTCTGTATTTAGTCACGAAACCACGAGGATGGGCTGCCGTGACAAATACATGTTATAAATATGTGTCATTTATACCAATTTGTGTTCTACCAGTAGGTACATACATCATCATCAGAATGGACGGGAGTGGCCCGCGTAGAACAGCTGATACGCTTGGCGAAGAATAAGAAGAAGTATGACAAGCTGACCGCCTACCAGTAGTGGAGAGGCACAACAAGAAGAAGAATCACATACATTTCTGTATTTTTTTTAAATTAATAAATAACTACCCTTCAACATATAAGGTCCGTTAAAGTCAGATAAATAAAAATGTTCAATTATGAACATTCCTTTAACTTTATGCATTGAAATTTTACATAAACTTTTGCATTTTACAACAAAATTAACATTTAAATTAACTTACTATCTTCTATTAGCAATTTGATGTTGAGTGCATTTCGTTATTTTTATGTCTGGACAAGATAAAAATAATGCAAACACAACAATAACTCTTTATTTCTGAGGGTATTAAATAAGGTAAAAACATAGAACTGCTAGTAACAATATACCCGAAGTAAACAATTGGAAAGCAGATTTTAAAGAGAGCGGTCAGAGCCATTTATAATCTACGTCGTTGCGAATCTCTCAGGGAACTATTTAAAAAGATTAATATTATGACAGTACCTTGCCAATTCATTTATGAAAATATTATGTATGTAAGAAAGAATCTACATCTTTTTAGTAAAATAAATGAAAGACATAATTTTAGTACTAGAAATAAAGATAAAATAGCTCAACCATCTTTCAGATTAGCCAAAGTTCAAAATTCATTTATGGGGTACTGTGTGAAATATTACAATAAAATACCTTGTGACATTTTAAAACTAAATGAACGAAAATTTAAATGTTTTATTAAAAGTACACTTTGTAAACAAGCATATTACAAATTAGATGATTATATTCAAGATAAGAATGCTTGGAAACATGCTGGTCCTGCTCCATAGGACAATCCTATGATTGGCTCTATAGCCTGGACAAAATCAAATTGGTTGCTGATTTTTTGCTAAAAAAAAATATGTTAATTTTTGTTATTATTTTTTTTTTTAATTTATATAATGCTACAAATGTAATTATTTTTTTTTGTATCTCACACACTGTTTTGTTGTGTTTTTTTAATATTTTTATTACTCTTTAATGTTAATATTCTAAGGTTTCGATATTTGTAAATATGTGAGGAACATGTATACTAACTTTTTTAGTATAGTAGTTTATTCTAAGAGTACATTGTCTTCACATATAATTATTTAACAAATGTAACAAAATATTGTAAACCTATTTTAAAAGAGTAAGTGTGGAGTTTCTTGCCCATTCTTCTCCACACGAAACTACCTTTTGGAAGGGGCAACTAGAATCATCTTTATATATATTTTTTTTTTTTGACGTTCAAAAGTGCCATTTTAGATGGTCTAATTGAAATAAACGATTTGACTTTGACTTTGACTTTGACTTTAAAATAATTTGTTTGGTATTTAACAAAGAATCAAAAACCATTACATTTAGTTTCTAACAAGTCTAAAAGTATCCAATATTCCACCGGGTCTTTGTTACGCCAACTATGCACAACTTGACAGTATGGAATCAAGGATTAGTAAAAAAATATGTTTATTATGGAATATAAGATACACTTATTCCACGTCATTAAATTAGTATCGCAGACATCCCTGCTCATCGGCAAAGAAGGTATGGAAACATAAAGAGTATTATTTCATCTGGTGTCAAGGTAAGATTCAGGGATGAGACTTAGCTCTAAGTGTGACTCCCGTAAGTTTCGACTCTGAACATCGCCCTTATCGCGGACTCTGATGACAAATGTTTTTTTTTGGCTTAATTTAGGCAGGGCTTTTTATAATGGCGCGTCTAAAGGGCCATGTTTTGCTAATTGATGGCTGCACTGTTGGCCACTAATTGCCGGCCATACAAAAATATTCTAATCAGTGATGGCCAACAATCTATGCTGGGCAATTGTTGCATAGTATGGCATATGCAGACTCTAAACGGTACACAAACCGGCAAAATTGACAAATAACTTTCGCAAGTTATTGTTTTAAAGAAAAGAATGAAGAGATTGTGGATTCGACCTTACTTAAATAGGCGTGAAACTTAGACAATTTGAGTCTAGAAATAAGTCTTGATATAAATTTTCAAATAGAATTCAAAAGTAGTATTTTTACGTATAATCTAAGAAAATACGATCCAAAAATAACACAGGACACTTCACTCAAAGCAAAGTATGTGCTAGAAAGGATAACTACCATAAAAAGGAGTGATAAAAAAAAAATTCAATATTAGTTGAATTCATAGCCTAGCGATCGTCCGGCCACCTATCGGGGCAAATCGGCCATATGTGGCTATACAAAAATGTTTGGCTATATGGCCGGGACATTACTGCAATATTGCATAGTGTGGCTGCTATTGTTTGCAATGTTGCCGGACAGTGTTCAGCCATCAATTGCACAAAACATGGCCCGTTTAGACGCGCCATAGGGCTACTAGCTGATCCGGCAAACGTCGTTTTGCCATGTATATCATTTATAATAAAAAAATAGGGGTTGATCATAGAGGTGTGAAAATTAGGAGTTGTATGTATTTTTAATGATGTATCATAAAAAAAATTTAAAAATAAAAATTATTTTAAATTAAATTTAGGGGTGGACTACCCTATACATTTAGGGGGATAAAAAACAGATGTTGTCCGATTCTCGGACATACCCAATATGCACACATTTCATGAGAATCGGTCTAGCCGTTTCGGAGGAGTTTAACCACAAACACCGCGACACGAGAATTTTATATATTAGATTTATAAAGCAAGCACTTGATCTATTTATTCCATAACCGTTACCCTGATATGAACAATGTCTGACACGACTGAGGTGTGCTTAAATGTCGGAACTTCCTAAAAACAAACAGAAAATTAAAAAGCATTTTTGAACATTGCTATGATTGTATTGACTAAACTCAGCCCTGAAAGTATCTCTTGGTGGCAAATATATTTTAAACTGGATTGATTTTTCTCAGTTTGACATTTGCATTAAGATAATATTCATTCCATATTTAAAAGGTAAAATGTCAAATTACCTAAATAGCGAATCAGATTATCGTCAACATAAACGGATCTGTCAAAGGTAGTTAGGATAATCACACCGTCTTGTTATTTATATTATCTACTTAGGAGATAAGGTCTGCGACTTCATCTGTGTAGAATAAATATAATATATATTATTCATATTCTTAGATAAGTATGTGTCATTGTAATAACTATTTTCAGCTAGGTTCTACTTAGCTAAAGTATTTACTAAATGATGTAAATAATCACGATATAAATAAAAGATAATATTGTGGGTCTCTATTGCGTATACGATAACTGATAGGGTGGTCTAGTGGCTAGGAATTAATTAAAATGCAAATAATACTTGAAAACATTGTGTTTACTTGTATGAGAAAATATATGAACTAAATTAAATGACACCGCACATGTAAAAATAAAATAAAGATATTCGAAATTTAAATGCAGTGCATCATAGACAATTGTATGTGGACAGCACCATGACCTTCCAACAATAACAAGCTTCAAATAACATCGTAAGATAAATTCTTATGGATTTTGTTAGTGAAATGGGCGGAAAACTGATCTTGTATTACGATACAAATTGCTCCCTATTTATTTATAAAATTCCTTTGGTTTACCTTTCGTTGAATAGATTTTAAAATATGAAACTAACTTTACCGACCGTTAGATAGTATTATGAGATTTAACTTACAAAACTCACAAATAAAGAGTTTTAAGTATCAAACAACAACAATTATACTTTTTTCTATACAGTTTACTGTACGTACGTCGAGTAAATTGTTTGTTTTGCGTTTAGGAAACATCAAATGTGATATTTCCGGCACTCTTAGCCGGCAGCTCTCCGATAAACGACAAGTTATTCTGTCTGTTATTTGCTACGATTTACGTATTAAAAACAGGCACTGCAGAACAGTAATATTGTATTTGATAATTGCAATCTATTCTATGTCATTTATTGAATTAGACTGATGTCTAATATTCTAACCCCTATCAATCGTTCACCCTTTTATCGAAATATAGTTTTCATAAGAATTAAAATATCGATGTAGGGTCACACAGAATATAGCTAGTTAATCGAATCTGTTTAATACTGTGAACTATTTCTTTCATTTGACAACTTGAAATTGGCAACTGACAACTAACAGCAATCAGAAGACAAAATTTTTAAAATCATCTTAGGTTCCAAAGGCTTCCCTAAAGTTAAATTGTTTTCGGTGGTTTTACTGTAAATCTATTTACTTCTAAACTATAAAATGGTTAGTTTTTGCTTCCTTGTTTTTAAGTTTTACCCAAAAGAAATAACTGTTTTAGTTGTATTTAATAGCAAAACTAAATTTAAAATTGCAATGTCATTGGCGCTTTCTTGATATAATCCTGGTAATAAATTGTTAATATCAAAGGTATAAGCATTAAAAAGTACTTTAATTTTATTACGAAGAGGTATAGGTGGTACGAATAGCTTACAAAAATACATTATGTTGCCGGGAAATAAAACATAACCAAACAAACCGAATACACTTAGCAAAACTTGATATTATTCTATTTTATTCCAGTTTCGCAACCAATATGACAGTGACGTCACAGTGTGGAGCCCACAGGGTCGTCTTCATCAAGTGGAGTATGCTATGGAGGCAGTTAAACTGGGTTCAGCAACAGTTGCACTGAAAAATAAGCAGTTTGCTGTATTAATAGCTCTCAAAAGAGCAGTGAGTGAGCTATCAGCTTATCAAAAAAAAATTATTCCCATTGATGATCATATTGGTATCTGTATGTCTGGCCTAACTGCAGATGCAAGAATGTTAAGGTAGATAATATTCTAAACCATGTAATCAAAAAATATTTGTCACAATCTTAAATCTTATAGGGCAGAAAGTAAGGTTAAATAAACTAAGGGTAAAAAAAACAAAAAAAGTATTTTGTAGTTGTATATAGGCTTATAATCTTATTCCCTTTAAAGGAAATAGTTTGGTAATACAAATGCAGTAATATGTCTGTCACAATGCCTCTCCATTACTTGGATTGTCTTGAATTCCCAGGAAAGAAGTATATTTTACACAATGCATATTTAATTATTGATTACAATTGAAATACAGAAGTTTGCTTAATATAATTTAATACTGTAATGTTACAGCCGATACATGCGCACAGAGTGTCTTAATTATCGTTATGCACATGATGCACCAATGCCAGTTGGCAGACTTATTGGTATGGTTGGTAACAAGATGCAAATATGCACTCAGCGATATGATAAAAGACCATTAGGAGTTGGACTCCTTGTAGCTGGATATGATGTGAGTAATATTCTTTTTGTTTATTAATTAAAATAAATTGAAAGAATAGAAATCTGAAGATCTTCTCAGTAAAAGCAGTGCTTCTATTTTACATTTCATTTGTTTTCTTATAGGCCCTGCAACAGCCTTTAAATTTTACTAAAGCTGACATAAAAAAAAAATATATATAGATAATTTTGACCACATTTAAAGCAAATCACTTGACTAAAATAGTAGTTTATGCAACTTTCATATAATAGAGGGTATTAAAACATGAGTGTAGTTTCAATATAAGATTGCACGAGTGTTTTAATACCTAATTATATGCAGTTGCATACACTACTTTATTTAATCTCATGGCTATAGGTTTCCAAGTCATAAAGTCTTGGTAACATTTGTTGTACGGTTTCTTGATTTTTCTGGCAAAAGACTTCATCGAGTTAAATTTTCATCGGTATTGTTGGTGTTGCTTGACATTTTTGGTACTAAAGTTTTATGCAACTAATTATTATTCAAATTCGTATGTACGAAATAGCGCCAATGGAAAGTATGTTATTGGTCTATTGGCTCGGAACCAGCGTGTTGCGCGAACAATTCGCTCACCACAGATTGAATTGAAACCTCCTTGGTCGGGACACATTGTACTTTAATAATTAAAAAGTTATTTTAAAGCATTGTTAGGAGAATAATGCTTTAATTTTTAAATTTTCTTAAAGAAGTATGTATATAAAATATGGCAATAAAAGTCTGTATTTCATTTCATAGTTAGAATATTACCGAATGAGATTATATAAACTATTTTCTGATACTTATGATTATTATAACATTGCAGGACCAAGGGCCGCATATATACCAGACATGCCCATCAGCAAATTTCTTTGACTGCCGTGCAATGGCTATTGGTGCTAGATCTCAGTCAGCAAGGACATATCTTGAGAAGCACCTCACTTCATTCCATGATTGTGATCTGCAGGACTTGGTTGCTCATGGTCTTAGGGCCTTGAGGGATACACTGCCCAATGAAGTTGATTTAAATACTAAGGTACATAAATAAAACTTTTTGACATTTTTATGTATAAAAACGAACTTTATACAGATTTATATTAACAGGCTGCTTGTTAATTTGCTTAATAAGTAAGTTTATGATGTTAAATTGATAGTATATTTATTTTAATGTGTGAATTTAAAATAAATATACTATCAATTTAACATCATAAACTTAACCTTAGCATCTTTGAGATCATTAATTAAAACTTAACACCATACAAAGTACTGAAAACCATAAGTTATCAAGATACTTCTTTGGAAGATACTCCCTGAGAATGTTGACCTTGTTAAAACAAACCTTGTCAAAATTTTTGCTGGTCTTTCTAGTTTTGCTAGTTTGCAATAAAAGAAAGTTAAGTTTGGTGGCGTTTGTTGTAGATATGTACAGATATATGTTAAATGATACACTTTGTTTGAAGCTGGGTAACAACTGAATTTAATCATTTAAAATTTGAGCTAATAATTAGGAGTAGTGGGGTTGCAACGGTAAGAAAAACTTATTTGGCTTATTTAAGGTTTCATAAGTCTAATTTTTTTTTTTTTAAGTCTTTATCATTGGGAGCTGTTAGGCGTTCAGAGCAAAATCTCCATTGAGACTGCTCCTCTCTTTCAACCGTGTCTATCAAGACTTAGGATTTGTACAATGTTCATAAGTCTAAGTGACACTTCAATTCATAGTCACTTTTTGGACATTATTAGAAATGAGAATAAAAGTGAATGAGTTTGGAAAAAACTAAATGCTTGAAGTGTGCAACGATTCCTATCATTTGGTTAACACATCTAATTATTTACTAAGATATAAATTCTAAAACATGAAAAAAATTGAAATATTTAGCAAAAAAATTATCTATATAAAATAGATTTAGATAGATAAATAGATAAAGCAGTTATAGTAGTTCTTTGCGGTGTAGACAGCATTATTTATTTATTACAGAAATACATACATTATCCTTACAGACTATGCCAATACGATAATGTCGTGAAACATTAAATAAAATATAATAAAGTAGGTACATATATATATAATATTAAACACATAATATACACAATATCGCTACTGTGAAATCACTCTGCGAACATGTAAATATGTCGATAGTGTCGGAGACAGCATTCAGTAGGCGCAACGTCTTTGATAACGGGGATTTATTTAAAATTTTAAAATTTTCGGGGAAATTATAGCCTCTTGCCACGCTACTGGGGTCGTCAATCACACATAAGCAGTGTAAATATATATGATTGTGAACAAAAGCTATTTTATATCTATGCAAAGTTCTTCAACTTTTTCTTAAATTCCAGAATGTATCGATCGCTATTGTCGGGCCTAAAACAGTTCTTCGAGTGGCTGATGAAGCGGAGTTGAGTCGTTTCCTGGCGCTGGTCGAAGGAGAAGAAAGGCGTGGAGGAACAGCCACTGGAGACGCTGCACCTTCGGGGGAAGACCCCCAGGCACAAGTAAGAATTGCAATAATTCATATACAACTAATTGTTTATAGACTTAAACAAATAAATGAGAGCGAAAATATTATGTTTTAAAAAGAAAATAATTGCTTGTAATTGATTAATTTTGAAAGATTTTAAAAGTTCTTTCATTAATGTAAAGCATAAAGCAAGTAATAGGCTATGAATAACATCACGATTCGATTAATCAAACCGAAAAATCGATAAAAAATATTGCGGAATCTAAAAGAAAAACATGTTTGAAATTCATACGTGGTAGAAGTGAGATTTTCAAAAATTTCGGTTTCAAGGTAATGAGACGAGTGAAATTTAAATTTTTAAGTTTAATGTCAATTATTAATTTTGATAAAAACTACATTGACTAAAAATGTTTTTATAATCAATAATATGTAAATTAGACTTTGTTCCACTACCTTATTAAATGTATTACACTTTTCTTTATTTTAAATTGTAATTTTTAAATTTACCTTTAATTTTTATAAAAAATATTAAAAATAAAATTAAAGTTTGAAAGTCGATGAAACAAAAAAGCGACAGTAAAAAGAGACAGACACATAAGTTCATAAGATTTAACGTAGGAAAAAATGAGATAGGAAGCATTTACATTATAGTATATATACATTTATAACTTTAAATTAGTGTAGTAAGAAGTTTTTACCTTAAAAAAGTTTTTATAATTAATTATATGTAAATGAAATTGACAAATTTCATCTAATTTTATAATTGAATAAAATAATCTCTTATTAAATTTTTTGCACATCTGTTTTTTTTTAATTAAGAAAATGATCAAATACACACAATTGAAGGTTTATTCTCTGTATAATGCTTCCTGTCTCATTTTCTCCCATGTTAAATCTTATGAATTTATGTCTGTCACTTTTTCGTTTCATCGACTTTCAAATCACAATAATGCTAAAGAAGTGTTCACTTCAAAAACTTTGGAACAATGGGTTTGAAATAGAAACTCTTTTTGTGTTGGATTAGTCCATTTATTGAGGTTAGACTATATTATAACATGCTATCTTATTGAAATTATTTATGACAATTTTATTAATAGCTACTAATCATTTATGCAACAATTTAAATATTTTCCCTTAGAAATTACATTTATAATAAGTGTTTTTTAATTCATTTGTGTAGTAGAATGCCACATAACAACAGACGGCGTGTAGTCCATAGCATCATCTTCATCATCAATATCAGCTAACGTGGTTCTTCTCTCTGGGTCTCGCTTTATTACGTTCATAGGAAGATCTTCTACATCTGACACATATCCCCATTTCTCATAAACGTTCAGCGCTGTTACACGCGGATTGTTTGACGACGGACTCGCTATATTTAATCGAAGGAATGGCTCTTCCACAGAGGACCTAACAGCTCGCTGTGCGCTTTTCTCGTCAAACGTCTCGTTTCGAAGCTTGGCATCAAACGCAATTTCCAAAAACATTGCCCATCGGGGTCTATAGTAGTAATAAACCATTTCTGCCCATTGTTTACATGCGTAATCTGATATCTCACCGTTTGGACCCCATAGTGTAATCTGATTTCTGGCATTCACATCGTACAAATACGACTCCCCGTCATTATCTGCTAAACTTTTTGCGCTCTGTAGCCAGTTTAGCAATGAAAAATCTTTTTGCGTTGCTAAAACATCCCCCATGTCTTTCATAGCGTCCAAGAATCGGGTAATCGATGAATTAAATGTCCAGGAATTGGTGTATCGGTCATTTACTACATTTAGGTAGAGTTGATCTATTCTGTATTGTAAAAGTTGACGGGCCACATCTACCAGGTCGTGGTCGAAGCCCCCTTGACAGTTATCGTTATTTGTAAGGACCAAGTTCTTTAAAGCATAGAGAAGATCTTTGCTTTTATACCAAGCCCAGGGGCGTATTTTAAAACTCGGTCGACGTGTTATCACGTACTTTCCCCTTATTTTGTTTAAACCATCGAAATTGTAAACACTTTTAAACAAATATCTCCAGGCGGTAGCAGTTGTGTTGCAGGCATATCTTCTTTCTGCGTAATCTGCAACCCATTGATTCAAATCATTGATAGGTGATTCGCGCCAAGCTGTCTCTAACATTAAGTCGTACACGACATAGTTTTGGTTAATCCCTTCTGGCGTTAGTCCCATTCCTATCATAGTGCTGTTAATCCTTTTCCTGACTTCGTAAACGTCTTTATTTATTGTCTGAATGTTACCAAACATGCCAAGGGTGCCTCCAAAATTGTGCAACATGCACCAAATAAATGGTTGACCATAATACATTTTGTATAAATCATATTGTGGCCACTGCTCCGACTGTAGGTCCAGCACCAACATTCTTCCATTTGGCACTGATGTAAGGAAAGCCTTGACTCTATCAACTGGCCATAATAGCGGATTATGTACGAACATCCAATTCTGTATCATCCAAACAGCATTCTCGTCCTGTTCTATTAGAGTGTTATAAATAGCCTTCGCAGTCTGCTGCACTAATATTGTAGACCAGGGTTCAATCTTGATCTCGTTGAAGGGGTCGGCTGAGTATATATTACCCGTACCCAATTCCTCGGTAACCTTCCTTAGATACATTTTTCCAATACTTTTGAAGACTGGATCAAATGGGCTAAGGAATAAGTTGCAACAGTAGTCATCGTTGAATTTATTCCACGTGTTTACTGAGTAGAATGTGGAGTTTGGATATATTCGACTAAACGCCCGTGGGACGTGTCCGTTGAATGCTGGAAGTATCGGTATCATGCCAAGACTTTGCATTTGACTAACCACTAAATCCTGACTCATCTTTTGAACGTTGTGCCAGGATTTGAATAATGGACCACCCCAACCGTGGACGTTGCCCATTCTCAGCCAGGACAGGAACGCTGGTCCAGTGAAGTGTTCATTGATTTCGTCATCAGTCATTCCTATTGCTTTGTAAATGCTAGACCAGGCCGCTTCCTGGGCGATCGGTGCCAATGCTAGGTTGATTCCGTTCAACGCCATCCATTCCACGTGTGTGGACCATTCGGATTTCCACCAAACAAAACTGTACGATGCTGTACATACGTTCTGATAATATCTGAATCGGTCGTTAGCGACAACCGTTTCATCCACTTCGGGGAGAGGATCTGGAATTTGAACATTCTGTACTTGCCATGCTATTTGGCTCTTGCAGTATTTCTTCAAGTAGTAATTGAAACCCCATACGGCAGCTACTCCGGTACTGGCCTTTATTTGAAGTTGTCCATTAACAGTCCGAAGTACGAACACGTCCTTATTATGAACGAAGAGAACTGGACTTATAATCACGTTCACATTATTTAAATATTTTTGAATTATTGCTTCCGCAGCCTTCTTTTGTATGTTGGGTGATGTTTTTGTTTGCAATACCACTGGGTCTAAATAATTTAGATTGATGGCAGTTGTGTATGAGAATAAACAAATGATAAGGTAAATAGAGTACATCGCGAACGCTTGCGACGAACGCGGGGCAATGAATGTACTATTCAGAGGATCTTAAGTGAATAATAGTGACCATTGACCTGCAGAAAGATAAGCTATTATGACCCGGCGAAGTTTTGTACTATATATTTTATTTATCTTCTAATATTGTGAAGTTGTAATTTTGTTTATTCTTTCACTAATAGAATGCTTCATCCCTGAGTAAAATCTTAATATATATATTTCTTCTGTGCGTGTGTATGTGACTGAACTCCTCTCAAACGACTGGACCGATTTTGATGAAATTTTTTGTGTGTGTTCAAGGGGATCTGGGAATGGTTTAGATTCACAAATCAGCCCGGCAGATGGCACTGCAGTCGGTACTTTCATACTTTGCTTAATATCCTAATCGCTTTAAATATCATGCAGGACAACGTCTGTGGGGTCCACTAGTTATTATATATTTTTCTAAATTAATAAAGGTATATTGATTTCCAAAATATTTTAATATAATTGCACCGTTTTAAGTATATGTCTCTTTCCATCACAGCGTAAATACAATTTGACGGATAGAAAGAGCACTTAATATTAGACAATGCTGGAGTGGTTTAGATTAGGTTTGGCTAGTATTTGTTTAAATTATAATTGGTCTAAGTATATTCCGGAATCACTTGATTAGCAACTTGTAACATTAGTATGTAAAAATTTTTCGCCATCAACTTTAGATTATTTTATTGGAGATCGTAACAGTAAATTATATATAAAGTCGTATATTTTATTAAAATTTGTATTAAAAAAAAACAAAAATATCCAATTGACCCCGACGTGATTTGAACACGCAACCTTCTGATCTGGAGTCAGACGCGCTACCGTTGCGCCACGGAGTCGATGTCTTACGACTTGAAAACTTCAAAGTGTTTAGAATGGCTTGCAGTATTTCGTAATTAACATATTTGTTTAAAAAAATTGTGTTACTTCAATTTGTAAGTAGTATATAGTGAGCTGTTTGATAATTGGTGCCCATAAAAATTATAACAAACACTTTGTTTAACAAACTGTTTTAAAAATATATATTAAAAATAATTATAATATTATGATTATTCATTATTTTGCTTATTATATTATTAAGACATTGTATTTCTTATTTTGGATTTGTTATCATGTTAATATTATTTATAAATTCAAATTGCTATCTGGTAATTGATAAGGAACTCTCTAATGAGTTTGTCAATAACTAACTATGTGGGATAACATGCAAATATCCGGTTATATCTTAGCTTCGTTACTTGCTATGGGTAATTCACGAGACTTAGCGCCAAGTGTGACTCCCGTTTGTCAAAAACGTATTGGATTTTGACATAAGGCCAATTCTTAAAAGGCCGGCAACCCACTTGCCTCCTGTAACATAAAAAATCCACTTCTATATCAAATTATTTGATTAAAATATTAAATTATTATTTTATTTAAAGCTACTTTAATTATTCACAAATTCATTTATACTAATTTTTCAGCAGGCGATGGACACCCAGTAAGTTCAAGACTGGAAACCGTGGGAAGGGATGACAAGATTGAAGACCTGATGCCGTATTGTCCTCCTACCCACAAATATGCCACAATTGTGGTTCTACCCTCTTTTCTATGCTGTTGGAAAGGGTGGTCTCGGCCAGTGTTCGGACCTATTGCTGCGTAATTTAATGGTATAAGTTAATAAATTAATTATCTGTGTGTAACACCCCATTCAAAACTAAATCGGTGTAGTCCCATTATTATACACAGTTCTCTTTCCATCACATTATACAAACGATAGGACGGAAAGAGACAAAAAGTATTTCGCAATCAGTGTTAAATATTAATATAAAAATTTATTTTTTAAAAATAGTTTTTGGATCTAACATACCAATTTTATTCTAACAAAATGAAATAGGCAGTCTTGCTTGTACTACAAATATTTACGTTTATATTTCTGAATGCTGGCCGGGGCTAATAATATGTATCTTGTGTAATTCTTTTTAATTAAATGCATACATTTTTAATTGATTTTTTTATACTGTACTTACCGCCCTTTATTAACTAAAAGATTAAAGCTTTAGATTTTATTATATATTTTGTGCATAAGAATATAAAATCTTAAAGCAGTGTTGGCTTAGTAGCTTCAGCGTGCGACTCTCATCCCTAAGGTCATAGGTTCGAGCCTCGGCTGTACTTTCTGTCTTTGTGCGCATTTAACATGCTGGGACGGTTAAGGAAAACATTGTGAGGAAACCGGCTTGCCTTAGACCCAAAAAGATATTTGATGAAAAAAATTCTTATTTTGAACATTTTTGAAAGGCGCCTCTGAAGTTTGTGGATAGAAAGAAAAAATACTTTATTATACAGGATATTTAGATTAAGTAAAGTGCACTGGCCCCCCACACTAGGATTCCCTGTGTTGTGGGCAGCCAGCCAGCCTTTTGACTTTTGAGTGTTTTATAAATTATATTAATGATTTCTACACGTTTTTTTTTTTTTTTTGCACAATAAGAATATTTTCAGTATCAGCATATGACAGGTTAACGAGATATTGTTTGAGTTGTTTAGTAAATGTATGTAAGGGAGCGTTCAAGTATTACGTTACGCAATTTTTGGAGATTATTGATTCCCCCCCCATGTAACGCGCCGTAACATTTTTCTGTACCCAAGTATAGTATAACGTTTCTTGACCATCTAGTGACTCTTTATACCTAAAAGTTACCATTATGTGGTGTAAAGTACTGGAAAGTCGAAAATAATATTAACAATAACGCGTAATTCAAACCCCGCCCCGCATCGTAACGTTTTATATAAGGACATTGAAATTAGTGATAATTTTATTTTTAAGGAAGTGGTTAAAGATGAAAGGGCCTCGGAAGGAGAAAAAGCGTTGGGCGAAGAAAGTGCGAGTTTTGGGTTGCTTATATATGGGTTTGCGTTTTGTTATATGGTGCGGCGGTGTTTGTTTCCAAAAATGTCTGCATATTGTCTATGCATAAATTTAGTAACCAAATTTAATTGTCTATGCATAAATTTAGTAACCAAAATACATCGAAATTAGGAAAAGTATAATTCTGCCTTTCATTTCAATTTCGATACATGTTGCTACAAAATATGTTCATATTCTATGCTAAAGAGGACTTATATTTTTTTGTTACTGTCAAACGAAAGCGCCATCCTTTCGTTTTGGATTTCAAAAGGTTTTGTAAATTAAATGCATACTGTGATTTGATTTATTTAATCTCTCATAATTAAAATAACATATTAACAAATTATAAAGGTAACAGGAGTTCAGTATAAAGCATCAATAATTTACGTCCGGGTTCAATATAAAAACCAGTTGTACAACGACTACGCCTCGTAGCGATTACGACTGGTTCATGTACATAGAACCCTAACGGGTGAAGGGCAGTGGTATGATGCTAATGACAGGTTATCATGTCTTAACAATTTTGGTTTCAGTGACTGTCAAACTAGTGTAACAGTGATTGATAAATTGTATTGCAACACATCTTCATGGCTGATTGTTAAGTCATTAGTATCCCAGCTGGGTTGCCATGTTAAAATATGTGATAAGTACGTCAAAGGAAAACGTACTTATTTTTTTAGGTAAAGGTACTTGAAAGGTAGATTTCAATTTTTTTTATCCTGTGTCAGCTTTATTTATGATTTTATTTCATATTTTATGAATACAAACTTGTAGATTACTTATTGTCATATTACCAATTTGACTAGGTCTAACTTATTACAATCGATATTGGTGGTCCTGTTGTACATTTTTTGGTATGGGACAATATATAAATATACAAAACTTAACTATATACAAATCTTAGCACCATTTATATAAAACTAAATCTCGAGAATTTTGGACTTCGATCACGCGGAAGCTAACTTATGGTAATTTCAAATATATCTTTGGAATAACAACAAAATACTATACATATGCACATGAACTAATTAAGAAAGAAATATTTCTATATATTTTTTGAAGACAGAAATTTCAAACTATTAGTTTAAAGAATGACCTCACTTCTCATATTTTGCTTCGATAGAGCTGGCAACTTATGACTGAAGAAATGATTAAAAGTGGATTAACCATATTTTGTCAAGTACAAATTTTATTTTGATACTTCACAGTGAGGATTTTGTTACAAGTTGCAATCGTATCTGTCAGAATTAATTTATGACATCTTCAGGTAAAAGTTAATTGTCTCGAATAGTTTATCTTTGAATATAGGATAAAGCTAAAAAGCTCAAAAGCAATGTTATAGGCTAACACTATCGAAATCAAATTAGGAGAATCAAGGCTCTTATTGTTAACATTTATGTGTATAGGTTGTGTCATACAAGAGTATCTAATACATATCCGTTCCCTGTGTACGTGAAAACGGGCTGGCTTTGATCCAAAACAGGTATGTAACTTTCTTGCAACGCTATCGGCTGTCGACTTGATGCCTCATTCAGTTGTCTTTCCAAAATAGTATTTTGTAACTCTTCTTCTTCCAATTGTAAGGTTAATTCATCTAACAATTTCATTCTATATTCCAATTCACTTTCAGTTCTTTCCAACTCTTTAGTGTTATCTTGCATTTCTTGGGCTGTTTTTGCTAGATCTTCCTCTATTTTGTCAATTAGCATTGTCACTTGTGATACGTTTTCACAGCTATTTGCCTTGTTTTCGTCTGTATATCGTTTTACCTTCGCTGTTAACCGAACCACTAGTTCCTCTTCGCGGTGTAGTCTTTTGTTTATAATCGCGAGCTTTTCAAGAAGTTCGATTTCTTCTCTTATTTTGGTTAGTTCGTCAGCTGATGCTTCTGAATCTGTGTCTGTGTTCGTTTGGATCAATCTTTCGGAATTTACTTGGCAGATATCTGTAAGTTCTTTAGTAAAATAGTGCTCTCTCATTAAGTGTCGTTCTCTTCTGGATTTGTGTTTTGTGTGTCTTCTTGGTGGCGTGCCACTGCCAACTCCCACACCGCTGTCACTGTTGGCAGCTTGGCTATCATTTACCTCACTGCACCTCCCGAGATCTCTCAGATATGATTCCAGCAGATAATTTGTTCCATGCTTCTCCATTCTACTTTTGTGTGTTTGGTCTTCTAATTGATCGATTAGTTTTTCCTGCTCCCTGTAATAAATAATAGTTTGATCTGTTATCGAAACTAAGCAGACAAATTTATATATTTGCTTACGCTCGTTTGTGAAGTGATTCATTTAAATAATGATGTTTGTTGAACATTATACATGCAATTACCTAATAGTCATCAACTAATATTAACTTAGTAGTCATGAGTTTATTTCAAATTAACCATAACAATTTGTATTGTCATTGAAATACGCAATAAGTCTGCAATTGAAACTAATAATTTACTTAATAATAGAGATGCGAATAAAAACGTTGAATCGTGAAACAAGGTTCTAAGGTTTGGAATTAGATAGGTATTTTGTATTATTACAAACTAATTTAACTATCCTCTAAACAAAGCTAGATCGGTTATTTAAATCAATTTTTTTTTGACATTGAATAAAATGAAAGAAGTAGACTTTTAAGATAACTAATATATAAGTTTGGAAGCTATCGTATATGTATGTAAATCTTAAGTAGTTTTTACCTAAGCTTATCAAGTTGCTGGTGTATCGTCCTACTCTGATGCTGTATCACAGACACGAGTCTCGCTGCTGGCTCTTCACTCTTAGCTCTCGGTGGAGGAGTTGCTGCTCTATGACCTTTCCGTCGTCTTCTCGTCCTACTGCGACTACCAGCGTCGCTGTCTCTTCCAGAATCATCTTCTCCACCGCTGGACAATCTTCGAAGAGATAGACGAACCTGTAATAAATAAACTTATATTAACAGGAGTATAACAAGATAATACTCCACCATCTTAGAAATATAATAAATCATTAAAGTATTTTTGCCTGGAAGAGACTGCTCGAAAGCGATAAGGCTAAGGTTATTTTCATTCAATAACTATTTCTGTATGCAACGCAGTGTTAATAAATAAATAAATGATATTGTTTTTGGATATCACTTACTTCAATGAAACATATATTTAGGTATTATTAGGGTTTTATTTATTTAGTATAAAAATACTATTTTAGGTACTTAGATTTCTGTATCTGTTTCGTGATCCTCTGTCACTCTTATAGGTAAAATCAGCCTTCTGTGCCTGACACATGCCGTTGACTTTTTGTTTCCTCATTACGTTTTCCTTCACCGTTCTCAATGTTAAATAGTCCGTTGGTGATCCCCGGCGGAGTCCATTGATGCACAGTTGGGGATCGATCCTACGACCTCAGGGATGGGAGTCTCACGCTGAAGTCAATAGGCCATCATTGCTCATTTATATTACAGTAACTATAATTTATAAGCCGTACTCCAGTCCTATAGTGGTACTTAAAGAACATGTTGGTATTTGGCAAACATGCTATTATTGCACTTAGAAATCTGTAAATGGGTAGAATGTTAAGATAATATAAGAATCTTACTTCATGCCTAGCATCTCCCCACGCAGCCAACACATGCAGCACGGGCACATCTGGTGGTAAAGGTCGTTCCACTCCCCTCCATCGCTCAGCTAGAACCCACTCGCCTGGTTCGCTCAAGCAACTGGCTGTAATAATAATTATAATTATTTAATAGGTATCGTTGCATTTGAATCATTCATTGTAACAGTTTTGACGTTTATATAGTAACGGGAAACATTTCTATATTTTTTCTTAGCCGTAGTACAAACAAATACTGCGATTATTTCTCTTAATATTTCACTATAAATGCCATGAAATAGGTTTCATTCCGGCCTCGCACCAGAGGTGGCAAACAAATCTTATTTTATTATCATGAAAACTTCGACCAGGAATGGACATGTGTATTGTATTTTCATAGATAAATGGCTTTTCTCACCTTCAGGAGTATCTTGTAAGGCCCTGACGATATCAGCACAAGTGGTGTGAGACCGGACCCCTCTCACCCATAATTTCTGACCACGAGCTAGCACCCCCACCTCTTCATCGCTGTAATCTGATGAGGAAGCCTCCATATTTCCACCTATTGAATATTACTTAAATTAATAACATATAAATGTATGTGAGGTAACTTATATCGACTTTTATTGTGGTCCCATTCCATTAAATTAATTTTAAAAAACAATATGTTATATATATTAAATATAGTTAAAATTAATATGATATTAAAATTACTTTTTTGAACTTAGTAACCAATTTTTTCTCATCAAGGTTTGACATTTGACAATACTCAAATAGAGATTGTGTCTAAGGCGATGGGCTCTGGCTCATGATTTAGAATGACAAATAAATCAGTGGCTCTCAAACCTCCTTAGGTCTGGGCCTCAGATTTCTGTATCTGTTTCATGATTATTTGTCAATCTAATTGGCAAGTGGGTGATTCAGTGCTTGATGAACGCCGAATTTTACCACGCGATGTTTTCCTTCACCGTTCGAGCGAATATTAAATGGGCACATAGACAGAAAGTCCATTTGTGCTCAGCCGGGTATCGAACCCTTGATTTCAGGGATGAGAGTCGCACCCTTAAGCCACATACCAACACTGCTCTTATGTTTTAGAATAGTACTCAAACTATAATCAAGTATCAAAGGATGTCAAGTGTTGTCTCAGAATCTTAGAATCCTTGGATTTAAGTAGCATATGTGACCCTCAACCACGCGCTTGAATAAACTTGGCGAAGTTATATGAAAAAGTCTCGAAGATATTCAAACTACGTTGTATAAAATATTTGTCAATTAAAGAAGATTTGTTCGAGATTACAAATGATTAAGATATAAAAACTAAGTATTCAAAATGTATTTCAAATCTACAATATTTTAATTAGGTACTTATATGCTGAACGCGTGTGAAACTTCGTATAAAAATAATTAGTTCCCTCCCCCAAAATCAATATTGTGACCTTTACCAATGACCTCATAAAAGCGGACCTTTTAGGAAAATATTTCTTATACTGGCTGTTTGATGCCTGCGCCAATAACAAGCTTCATACCCAATGAGTTCGATAATATCCAATATCTGTAAAGTGATTTTATTAATTCAACATTTAAGTCGGGGTCACAACCACAATAGGGGCGATTTAGATCGTCGCTTCCAGTGTCTGTCGATATTAGTAAAAAACTCAACATTAGAGTCGGGATCATTTTTGCATCATCGCTACACTTTTTAGTTTGACGGCTTTAAGCTTAGTTTTTTTTTTTTTATATTTTTTTTTTTTTTTTTTTGCTGATTAATGCATTGTCATACTTGACAGGTGCCTATTTGGGTTCAAAACGAGTGGCTATCTGTTAATAAAATATAACTAATAGTCATACATACATATATCATAGGTGAAGCTAATACAAAGCATGTAAAAATCCCATCTTTAATAAAAAATTTACACTCATACAGCAAAGATGTATCCAAAGACACGGAACTTAAACTTCCTTTTACAAAATTAATAAAATGTCCAATATATTTGTATATATTTAATTGTAAATAGTAAAAGTAATTATAATTAGGAGCGCTTAACGAAAACGAAGAATATTGTAACGAAAAAAACAATATCCAACCATAAAATAAAATTGAAAAGAGCACGGTCTTAGTTTACTATTACGGAACATGTAGTATTTAACACACGTGTCAATACTCAAAGTGCAAAGCTATCTATACGAGCCAAAGCTGTATGCATTTTGCTCACTCAGGCTTTCTTATAAATAAGTAATAAGCATGGCGATTCCCTAAATCGTCAGAGTTTCTCCCCGAAAGTGTAGCCAAACGTAGGCACTCTCTTCTACTGTTATGCATTCATCCGTTACATACATAGCAACTAACATTTCATTATTCCGCTTATATTATATTTTTGTACGCGAGTCGTTGATATAGAGTAACAAAATTCTTCACACCGATGACCCAGGTACATTTTGGTCCTTCGAGCCGGATTACACCGAGCTATATGTACGAGCCAAGGCTGTCTATAATCCTGATTTTATTTTCGCTTGTAATATACAATAGAAGGTAACAACGTAATAGGTCAAAAGAAATGCGTTGCTAGGCAACCAACGACCAAACAAACAGGGGTTGCATAAGTTTGCACAATTTAGGGGCGGGTGGCGCCAGGCACGCGAACATTATCAGGAAATCGGGGCTGCATAGTTGCAGTTCGTAACTAGTTTGCATGTAACTGCATTTTAATGGAAATCTTTATTGAAGGAAATGTTCGTAAATAGATCATTAAATTGAAATTGGATGCACGCTTTTTCACGAATTGACTTATTTTTATTGCCGTTTAAATGTAATTTACTGTATTTCCAGCATATTTGCTGGTTGTAAAGATTTCTACTTAATACATATAAAACTCTCGGTATATAACTTTTATCTTTAGTACTAAGTACTATTATACTACGAATAGGTTCTTATATGTCACGCCCTCACAGAATGACTTAGCTATTTATTTGTCTCGCGGTTCTACTGCTAATATAAATTATATATAACAAAAAACAATTATACTAAAGAATTAGCTAAAGTATACGTAATATGTACAAAAAGGTTCAAACATTTACGAAAGGAAAAAAAACATTAAAAATTATACAATACATTTAACTAAGAGTGTGTGATGGTGTATATGTACATCAGGGTGTGTATGTGTTCTATGTCTATTTCTATAAAAATGTATTTTTATTATAAAACATTTATTGAGCTTTTAAAGGAAATGGCGCACCACCATTTATTGAACCAGGGCCCTTACTTTGTAACTCCAACCGCAATAGGGTCACAAATCCCGATCACTATAATGAGTTTTTGTACCCAAGGTCCCAAGGTCCAAGGCAACAGCAATTGTACGGATATCTCTACTACTACATCGAAGTTGCATACAAAAAGGTCGGGTATCGCTATTGACATAGACATCACATTTATTACTAACGAAACACACACACAGAAACACAGTAATAATAATAATAATAATAATAAAAAAAGATAAATAAAAAAAAGATAAATATAAAAAAGATAAATATAAAAACAAAAAGGAAGATATATTTTAAGTGTGTAATGTGTGTGTTGTGGTTGTAACTGGCCCTGGCTCAGCATTATGCTGTGGAGTAGACGTGTTCCACAGCGCTGGTCATTCTGCCAAAAGTAGTTTGCGCCTTAGACACAAAAAAAGAAAAAGTTTGTTGTAATAAAAAGAGAAAAAGTTCAGGTCCCTATTAAGAGTGTAGTATGAAGCTGGGAGTTCGAGTGCCAATGTAGATGGTATTTGGCTTTCAAGAAAAGAGCGTAGGTACCATACCTTAAGGCCCGCTGAGTACCTATAAAATTCGGTGTTGCATGTGTCAATGGTGGCACTTTATTCTCGTTTGTCCCAACCCTAAAATTTACAAAATAAAGCAGAAACTATGCGTGATTTCTAAACGCTATACAGCGATTTCACTGTTATTAATAGAACAATAGAAACGATTCAAAAGCTTGGCGTACCCCTAATCTACCCCTTCGTAAAACTAAACAAGTCTGAAAGTTCATTAAATCAATACGAGCTAAAATAAAATTCGGTGAAGGCGCGGCAAATGCCAGGGTGGGGTGGGGTTTGCGGAAACACCTAATGGACGTTAGTCACGACACGATAGAACTGGGGAAGTTTAGATTTGCTTTCAAAAACAAAAAAGGAGTGTTATATTGTACGTCTATATAACATACTTCGTTATTCTTCTAGAATGACATTAGACATATGACATATAATTTATTACAAACAAAAACACGCACACAAACACACAAAATAACAATAATAAAAGAAAAAAATGAAAAAAAAAATAGAATGAGAGATATATTTAAAAAAAAATCCCTTTTCCCATTCGGTTCGTTTCAAGGGTGTAATGCGTGTGTGCTGTAGCTGTAAAAGGCCATGGCTCAGCATTATGTTGAGGAGCAGAATGTTCCACAGCGCTGGTCATTCTGCCAGAGACCACATCAGCTAGTTTGCCCCTCAGTCGCAAAAAAAGAAAGAAAATAATGCTACCGAAGTTATGCTTAATTTTATTATTCAATGAAACAGTAAATTTAGTAAAGAATGTCAAGGTATAGAAAGTAATAATTTAAGTGTCAATATAATGGTGTAATGGTTGCAGCTCCTTACAAACATTGTGTAAAACAAAAAAGAGTGGCGGAGAGTGTATTGCCAGTTCTTCTCTTCCGTTCTACGCCCTTGATTTGAGAACAGCAGTAAATGTAAAATTAGAAGCATTTAATGTATATTTATTTTTTGACGTTCATAAGTGTACATTGTGTAATCTCAAGTTACTTATAAAACACCAATTAAAGAAGCTGTTTGAACTATGTTTCTAGGCATAACACTAAAACAAAACCTTACTTGGAAACAACACATCGATATGTACGTGCCTTAATAAATTTGTGTTTGCTATGAGTCGAACTCGCAAAGGAGCTTCCAAAATTATGGCTAAATTATTATTTATATAAATAATTCGTCATGTATAACTTATGTTCCTTCATTGTATTGATGGAATAACCTTTGATATTCACACCCATCTAATACAAAAAAACGTCAAAATTTTCCCCTTTATTTTTAATCAGTTAAAATTGTGAACAATTTGGTTTCTCGGTTTTTTACATTAAAAAAAAACTTTCAAAACGTTTCAAGGTTGGTATTTTCTAGTAGTGTCAGTTCTGTTCCTGACTTTTTGGGTATAAAGCATGGTTTTATCACAACGTTTTCCTTCACTGTACGAGTGTTAAATGCACACATAGAAGGTCCATTGGTGCCGGTTAAAACATCCGGAGAATTTTCGAAAGGCTACTTGTGTTTGTGTGTCTCCCATATTAATAATAATAATCAATGGCGCTACAACCTCTTTAGGTCTGGGATTCTTATTATCATTTGGTAATCTAATAGGCAAGTAGGTAATCAGCCTTTTGTGCCTGACGCACGCCGTTGACTTTTTGGGTCTAAGGCAAGCCGGTTTCCTCACGATGTTTTCCTTCACCATTCGAGCGAATGTTAAATGCACAGATAGAAAGAAAGTCCAT